AAGGTGTCCTGAGCAGCTGAAGAGTGAAACCCTCAGAAGCTTCCCTGCGAGCACACGTTGCAGCAGGGCTTCTGGTTCCCGGGGCCCAACGTGCCAGGGTCTCGGGCTCCGCACCTGCTCCCTCCTGTCGCCTTCCCGCGCTATGGCCGGTGGCCTAGGGGGTGCAGGTGGCCGGAAGCCACAGGAAGCCCAGAAGTCTTGTGCTGTGTTGTACTGTCTGCGCAGGGACCCTGAGTTCACACGCACACGCACACACACACAGGCACACGCACACAGCCCGCTCCACAGTCGCGCCGCCCCACCAGCTCCTGTAGACGGGGAGCCTCACTCTGTTTGGCAAGAACGTCTTGTTGGCCATTTGACGACCTAGTGCTGTGGGTTTTATCCTGCCTTCGCTCCCTCATCCCTGCCCAGTTCTGCCTGAGGTCTGCACTCCCTGGTGGGAGAGCGGAGTGGGAGGGAGGAGGGAGCTCTGCAGGCTCACTGTGTGGGGTACCCCTAGTCCACCGGCCTCCTTCCTGGGCTGGCACAGCCCCAGCTCACACCACCTGCCCTCAGGCTCAGACACCTGCGAGAAGGTGAAGGGCGGGCTCCCTGGGCTCTGGCTCAGGACTTTTGGAAAGCCTCGGGCTTACCTGTGGGTTCCTGAAGGCCTCAGCTCCCTGATGTGGAAGGGAAGCCTCCTGTCAGCCTGTCATAGACTCGGATCAGAACAATAGTGCAGCACCGTTCGCTTAATTTAGCTCCAAAATCATTGGTCTGAAAGACTCCCCATGTCTGGAAGGTGCAGCGGAGTCCAGCCTTCCCCTTGCCCAGTGGGCCAGCACCCCCTCCCCTCAGCTCTGCCTTCTGCCCAGAGAGGAGAGCTGCTGCCATGGCGCCCCCTCTCACTGCCCATCACAGGGTGTTCACTTTGAGCACCCCAAGTCCAGGCTCCTGACCTAGCCCTGAGGGCCTACCTGTGCTCCAGAGTGAGCAGAGCCTCTGGAGGCCCAGAACCTGAAACCAGCCCAGCATGGGAGCTGGCAAGGGAGCCCCCCAGGAGGTGATGTGCTTCCTTCTCAAACCAGTGTTTATCTTTGAGCCTGGCCATGGCCCCCCAAGGACAGACAACCCCCACCACAGCCAAGAGGCCCACTGGTTGGGGGAGAAGGGGCAGGAGGAAGGGAGGCATGGGCACAGCCACCTCTGTTGCCCCAGAAGCCCCCCACCTAGCTGGGCTCCAGGTGAGTGTGTGGGCTCTGGCAGCAGGGGCTCTTCCTGTGAAAGCCTAGGAGAGCTGGTCAACCAGGTGTTGGGCGGGGTCTAGGAGGATTTGCGCCCTGCTCCACGAGGGAGGTGGTGATCTGTGGGCTCTGTTCTCAGCCTGGAGAAGACGCCTCATTCCCAGTCAGGTTGGACAGGTTGAGGCTGACACACCTGGGAGAACCTGGCATCCAGAGAGGGCCTGAGCTCCTGAGCTTGGGCTGGAATGTGGGCCTCCCCCGCAGGGTGTGTCAGCCCCCGGGGTGGGTGAGGATCTCAGAGGGGGCCCCACCCCAGGCTCCTCCCTGCAGCCCCAGGGTCCCCACGCTGAGGGCTCCTGGGACCAGGAGGCTCCAGCAGCCTCCAGCTGATTCCCTGCTTCCCAGCTGGAAAGGCTGTTACAGAATCCCAGGAATGTGCCCCAAAATAACTTCTATAAATACTTGAGAGTAGGGATAGGGAGGGAGCTGTCGGCTGGCCTGCAGCTGGCCTACAGCAAGGGGCTGCTTCCCAGGGCAGGCCTGCCCCCAGAAGAAGACAAGACAGACGCAGCCAACACCTTCCCACTGCTGCTTCCCTCTGGGGGACGGTGTTGGGCACTGAATTCATGAGGTGACATGGTGTACAGTAGCGGTTCTGAAAAAGGAAGGCAGGGGGCCTTCTCCTTCCTCCCCATCCCAGGCCGCAGAGAGCCACGTCTTCCAACAGGGAGGGTCCCCCTCAGGCTGCGTGTCCTGTGGCCCTAAGCCGGTTGGTAAGCGTGCACGTGTCTGTGTGCCTGGCTTGGGACCCAGGACCCCCCCGCCCCCCCTCCCCAGCTCTGTAGAGCTGACTCCCGTGGGGAATAGCAAAGCAGGCAGGAGCCGAAGACCCTGTCCCTCTCAGCCCGGGAAGGGACAGGACAGGGATCGCACACCAGAGCCCACAGTAAGGGAGCACAACCTCAAGGGGATGGTGTAGCCGGGAGGTGCGATCCTGGGGGGCTTCCTGGGTGGGGAGCAGGTCCTGGGTCGTTGAGATGAGACCAGATGCTCTCCCCTCCCCAAGATCCAGGAAGGGAGGGAAGGAGGGATGGATGAAGTTGGGAACTTCTGGGGCCTTCCGCCACAGCCCTGCCCTCCCTGAGTGGCGGTAACCTCGCCCCCTCTCAAAGGTGCATTGCTCAACTGCCATGAGCAACTTGCACATCACTTTCCAGCTGCTGCGGCTGGCAGCATGGCTGTGGCATCTCCCAGGTGAGGGTCAGAGGCTGAGTCACCAGCAGGTCTGGTTTCTCTTGGCTCAGGGTGCCCCATGGCCAGAGTAGGGCAGAGTCATCAGGGACGTTTGGATGGAACCGCGTTTCCACCATGTCCCTGGAGACCTATTTTGTGGGCCGCTGGGGTGGGGGCGCCGGGGGAGGGGGTGATGGCAGGCCCTTGGCAGAGCGCCCGGCGGGCGCAGAGTAGGTGAGACCTCCCGTCTTCCCGAGGCGGGCCCTGCCCAGTTGTCAGGCAGCAAACAGCTCCGAGTTGCTACCAAACACGAACAGACTGGTGTGTCAGGCAGGTGGCAGCAGATCCTGTTACAGGCTCCGGGCTTTGGGGCCCCAGCCTGACCCCAGCCCGGTGTCTCCTTTCAGGCTCTGAGGTCAGCACCCCAGGGTATGGGGGACATGATCCAACCCCACCCCGGGCCCCAGTCTTGGCCCACAGAGGGAGCCTTGCCCTCTGGAGAGGGCAGCTCCTCCCACTCCTCCCTCCGACAGGACCCTCTGCTCATCCTGGGGACGGTCCCTTTGCTGTCTGCCCACCAGGTGCCCTGACTACACGATTCCACGTCATCCCTGCAGACTCTGCAGCAGTGCCCCCCAGGAGGTAGCATTCCGTTCCCTGTTTTACAGATGAGGAAACCACAGCTCAGAGAAAACGGGCCACTTGCCCACGGTTCCTGCGGCGTCAGTAGCAAAGCTGGGATTCCAGCCCAGCCAAGGTCTCCTGGAGCCCCCAGCCCTGAGCCCCCAGCCCTGGAGCCCTGGCTTTTCTCTCCATGTGAAACATGCAGAGGAGCCTACTGCAAAGCTTCCTGAGAGTAAAACCAGCAGACACACACACACACACACCACACACCGCTCAGCCTGCGGACACATCTGGCCCCTCCCAGACACGCACACTCTCCTCGAGATCAGGGGTTTTCGAACTGCTTGAGTGGTGGGGCTCCCTTTGCAAACAGGCTGTCCTGGGGAGCTCGGAGCTCGTACAGAACCATACTGGGGCCCCGCCCGTCCCCGGGGGACCCTGCCGGCCTCCCCATCTGTCCCCCGCTGCTCCTGCACTCACGCAGCCCAAACCTTCCATTTTTGGTGCTTAACTTTGGTGTGTAGCGGCCTGTGGTCCCGCCCGCCTTCCCTCCTCCCTGTGGGCCCCGGTGCATGGGGAGCTGCCCAGGGTGCAGCTCCAGGGCCTTGCGGGCAGCCCCGTGGCCTGGGCCCTGCTGGCCAGGCTGGACACTGCACCCCGGTCCTGGGCAGCCCTGGGTCCACGCTCCCCTGCCCTGCACCCCCTCCGGCTCCCTTGCATGGCTTGGCCCTGGCCGCCCGAAGACGGCGCCCCCTTCCTTTCCTGCCCGGACCCAGGACCCCTGGCCGCCACCTCCGGAGAGGGTGAGGCTTTTCCTAGCGCTTCCTGAGCGCCAGCTCTCGCCCTCGCCTAGCTGGTCGTGTTCCAGGCTCTCCGAGGACTTTATGAAATGAGCGGGCATGTGCACCTTCCCCAGTGGGTCGCCATAGCAACAGAGGGCCCAAGTCCCAGGAGCGTGGTGAGGAGGAAAATGTTCCAGCTAAAAATGTACAGGGCCGTCAGTGGGCGGGCACCGGGAGGCTCCTCTCCCGCACCCCAGCCCCTGCCCGTCCAGAAAGGTGGTGTTAGGCTCTACCTCGAATCTTTGAATGAGAGGGGCCCCCCTCCCCCATGCAGCCACCCCATGCCTCCTTTCAGGGCCAGAACACAGATCAGTGGGATGGAGCCAAGCAGCCTTTCTGGGACGGGAGGCCGAAGGGGGGGGTCCTGGTCCCCCACCTCACTCACCACCCTGTCCTCCCACCTCCCTGCACTCTCCTCAATACGAGTAGAAGAGGATGTAGAAGGGACACAGTCCCAATTTCACTTCCCAGGCTTTTGTGATGATTCCTGTCACCTCCTCTCCCTGCCAGCAGGGCTGTTAGAGACCAACAGCAGCACCAGGCTTCCCAGCCACCCCTGACCCCTCTTACCAAGGCCGTCCTTCTGCCCAGCACCCGCCCTCCTGGGACCCTCGCCAGCCAGGCCAGGCTGGGATGGGCGGTGGGTGCCAGGACCCCGATGTCCCCAGGAAGAGCGTGGCTGAGGCAGGCCAGGGAGCCGCCCCCACCTCCCTGGGGACAAGGGCCGCTCCACGGCAGGGTGGCCAGGCCTCTGGGTAACAGACTGTCTCGCTGAGAGCTCAGGCATGTCAGGCATTGTTCCAGCGCTTTCCCCAATGCTAACTCCTGTAACCGTGACAGCCCTGCAGGTGGGCACTGGGCCCTTCCCACTTACAGCTGAGGAAAGTGAAGGCCAGAGGGGACTTGCCAGGAGTGCGCCCCCCCCTCCAGCTGTAATGGGATCCGCTACTTGCCAGCCCGTCCTTGGGGCCAGGAGGGACAGAGCTCTCCCCATGGGGGAGCCGGGACGGGGAGGCTGGGCGGGAAGGGGGGTGCCAGGACACCCGCAGTGACCTCGCCCGTGCTCTCCCTGCAGGGTCTGATGCTGAGCCGGCTGGGCCACAAGAGTCTGGCCCAGAAGGTGCTGCGGGACGCCGTGGAGAGGCAGAGCACGTGCCACGAGGCGTGGCAGGGCCTCGGCGAGGTGCTGCAGGCCCAGGGCCAGAGCGAGGCCGCCGTCGACTGCTTCCTCACCGCCCTGGAGCTGGAGGCCAGCAGCCCCGTGCTGCCCTTCTCCATCATCCCCAGAGAGCTGTGACGGCTGGGGGGGACGGGCTACCCCCCCAGGGCGGGGCTCAGGGAAATACACGCCTAGGGAACACTTCTGGGCCAGGTCTCCTCGCCTCCCCGCTCCAGCCCTGCTTTCCCTCCTGGGGCTGCTGGGGGGGGGGGGGGGGGGGGGGGGGCAGATTTGCATCAAAAGCAAATGCCTTGCTCCCTGGGATTCAGACAGACATGGTGGCATTTATGAGTAAGGAAGAGGCTGGGAAGCCACAGCAGCCTGGGAACATCTGCCCCGGAGGGTCTGTGCCTCCTCGTAACCACCCCCCAGCGTCTAGAACCCCCCATTCGACACCTGCCACTCTCCACATCCCCCACCCTGGGATCCCGGTGACTGCACAGGTGCTAGCCTAGAACTTCAGCTCCCTGTTCTCCCACACCAAAGATGAACCCCACCAACTGCCCTCTGACTAGGTCATGAGGGTTTTCCCCACTTCCTAACCCAGTGCCTCGGGAGACGGTCTGCTTGAACCCCAAGTGACCTCGAGTCATGGTGACCAGACTCGTTCCCTGGGGGTGTGGGTGGGGGAGCGTCCCAGTGTACTTCACCTCCACGTGCGCCTCTGTAGCGGGTGAGCCCCAGGGCCCTGGTCTCAGCCCCAGCCTCAGGACAGGGTTTCAGATAACTCTCAGGTCTTGCCCAGGGCCATCAGGGCTGGAAGATTCTGCTGGCAAATGGGAAGAGCGTGAGATCTCTGGGTGTCCCCCCCCCCCAGGTTTGGGCTATTGGGGGATGCCCCTCTGCCCGTGGAGCTCCACTGCTCTTCCCCTCTGCTGCCAAGTGCCTTTTGGGCCTCTGGTGCCTGGCCCAAACTCCTCTCCCATCTCTGCCATGCTCACCTTTCTGGAAACCTGCCCCTGCCCAAGTGGTCTCCTTAGGCCTAGGCCGTAGACCCCAGGGTACGAACATGGCAGCTGGACCCGTTCTTCCTCACACCTTGCATCAACATACCCCTTCAGGCCTCATGTTTCTGGGCAATGGGTACCATGCAGAACCCTCTGGGGATAATAATATGGAGATGGGTGTCTCCAGGGCTGACCCCAGCACCTCTCACCACCCACAGCCCGTTTCTGCATCAGGCCATTCAGTTCCCCCTGCCTGAGGTCCAGTGGGGACTGGACACCAGAGGAGGGGACGGAGCGTCAGCAGGGGGCCGGGGGCTGGTGGGTGGGTATCTTCCCTGCTGGTTCCCCCAGCCCTGCTGGGATACTCCCCAAGAAGTTATTCCCCGTCCCTGGGGGTTGGGGGGGGAGTGCTCATCAGGGAATTCCTTTTCTATCTGCACTTTGGGTTTTAGTTTTAAAGCTCCATCTGGTACGGCTGTCTCCTCTTAGGGTGTGTGGAAAGACTGGGCGAGGGCTGCCCTAGCTCCTCATTGCCCAGTCTGCTCCTCGGGGGCGGGGGTGGGTGGGTGGGTGGCCTCTGGAGATCCCCCGCCCCGGCCACACTGGCTCAGCACTGCACACCCCTGGGTGCCTCCCCCCGAGAGGGCCTGCCCCCTCCTGGCCCTCCCACACGGCGACCGGCACTGCAGAGGACGCCAGATCCCTCGCTCTGCCGAAGGATCTCTGTCTCCATGTGTGTATAAATAGAGGTATAGAGATATATATATGATAGAGATCTATTTTTATTCTGAAATTCTGTGAGAAAAAAATAAAACTGAATGAGAAGAGCAAATGCTACTGATTTGCCTCGGGGTGCCCAAGACTGGTAGTCAGTTGGTAATAGGCAGGGCCCCAAGTGCATTTCGGCTTGCAGCGTTCCTCTGGGGGAAGCCTCGGAGGGCTGGGCCACCTTGCTGGCGGTTTGAAATAAAGGTCTTGAATAAAGAGACGTTTGAGAGGGATACAGCGTGTTCATTCCATCCAACGGGGACCCCCGAATGGGCCCTGAATGCCTAGTGAGGAGGGAGTGTTGCAGGAGGAGAGGCCTGAGCAGTCACCCCAGCAGGTCACACAAACGGGGGTCGGGGCCCAGGAAGAGACTGCTTGGAGCAGGGGAGAGCCAAGAGGGCCAGGCAGGCCCCGAAGCTTGGGTGGGGGTGGACGGAGGCAGAGGGGCCAGGCAGGCTGCTGGAGCTCAGGTGGGCCTGAGCCCCCTGCTGCCTCTAGTGCCCCGCGGGGGGAGGCCAGGGCCAGACCCATGACCTGAACGGAGCATGTCCTGCGGGCGCTGCTGGTGGAGCATCTTCAGCCCGTGGGGAGAAGCACCAGGAGACAGCCGCGTGGTGAGGATCCCGGCCACACGCGTCCTCAGCAGCTGCCTGCGCTGTGCCCTCCACACCAACACGCTCCTGAACAGGTCACACCCGTTCGGCACACTACATGTAACACAAACGTGCGACAAAGTTTTGAAGGATGACTGAAGTTTGCGTAGAAGCTCTGTTTTCTTCATGTGCCCCACGGGATCGTGGGGTGCGCCCCCAGGACTGCAGCCACCCCCGTGGAGAGCTGCCCTAGAGGCTGCCCCCAGAGCTTGGCCTGGCCTACACGAGAACGCCCCACTCCGGTGGCCTCACAGAGGTCTGGCCTCCTCCACCCACCCTCGGCCCAGGGGATGGTCCTGCTGCTCCTGAGAGGAAGGGCCTTTTGGGGAGCTGCTGGGTGCCCAGCTTCTTTCACTGTGATACTTTTTGGAAAACACAGTGATTTAACCATCAGTATCAAATGACTTCTTTCACACCCTCACCCCCAGCACCAGGACCCAAGCTTGCAGTGACAATTAAAGACTGCCTGAGGTCAGAGGTGGTGTCCCTTGTCTGCCAGCCCTGGAGAAAGGTCTAGAAAGCTCATCCTACAAAGAAGAGCAGGGAGGGAGGGGAGGCCTTCCTACTCCTGATGCCAGCTGACCTCAGTTGGTCAGATGTAGGAGAGCCGGGCAGTAGGGGAGACCCAGGCCGCTTCCTGACCCCCAGTTCCCATCTGCAGACCCCTTGTTCGTACACACACCCTGTGTCCCATCCACGGTGCCAGAACAAGGGCTGGAGTCGGGACCTCCGGCACCCGTGGCACACTCTGGGACACAGCCCCTCAGTATTAATAGTGTTTATCTACAGGCATAAATATGAATGGAATTTCAGCCACCAACACCCAGACTCCTTTCCGATAGCAAAGTCCTCATTGTTGCGTTCGCTCCCCCCACTGGGCGCTCGGATGTCATCACCATGCAAATATTTCTCGGCCTTGGGAAGCTTCCAAGGAAACAAACCTCCCCCAGCCCATGCTGCCAGGCTTGATGGCAGCCCATCATCAGGGAGCCTCACACACAAGTGGCGTGTGGGGCCACCCCCGTGCTGCTGATCCTAGGACTGCGGAGGCCAGGAAGACCGCCATGGGGACAGCATCCTGCTCCCTGTCCCCTGCCAGCAGGTCCTTGGAATTTTTATCAGACTCTTCCAGTCGCGAGGGACAGAGAGCCCTGGAGGTAGCAGCAGGAGAGAGACCAGGGGGCCGTCTCCGGGCCCTAGTGCGGGAACTGCCTGCACAGACCTGAGGCCACAATCCGGCGTCTAGGACGGAGGCGGCACCCAGCCCGGGTCCAGAGGCACAACTCCACTAACTGCCCATCTCTGGGAATGAAGGTGGCAGCCACTAGGACTATTCAATGTATATACACCTGTCGTCGCTCCCTTGATGGTCAACCACCCTGGGAGGTGGCTTTTGTCCGCATGAAAGGGGGAGAGGTTATGGTGCCTGGGAACCTAGGCCCTGGCCTCAGACCCCGCCTTCCTCCCACCGCCTCCCCTCTGAGGACTCGGCACGGCACCAGCTCACTGGACCTTGAGAGAGAGCCACAGAAGTGCCACCACCGCAGCAGAGGGATGGCCCCTCTGGGATCCATGGAAATGTGCATCGCTGGGGGTCCTCCACCGCAGGGTCACGGGGGACCATGCGCAGGCCCCAGGGGCTGGAAGCCGGCTTCGGGGAGGAGGAATGAGTGATGCCCGGTGCTGCCTGCTGCTCTCGCCCCTTCTGAGGCCGGAGAGGACACTCCTTAAGCGGAGGTCACTCAAAAGGTTGGAAGGTCCCCAACTAGCAAGGGGGTTCAGAAGATGCCAGGCAGCCCGGAAACGTGACAGGCTCACCTCAGGAGCTGCGTGCTGGGCCACGTGATGCCACTGCCCTCCTGCCAGCTGCCTGCACCACGGGTGGGCTCCTCCTCCGTGGACTGGCCCACAGCCTGTGACATGGCAGGGGGTCCCAGACTGGTGCTGGCTGTCACAGTTCTCCTGTTCTCACTCACTCTCTCCCACTCTTATTCTCTTCCTCCCTGTCACTGTGGACTTCTCTCAAAACCATGTACTGTCACTTACTTTTTTCTGAACCATCTGAGCATCGGTTGCCTACATCATGCGCCATCAGTGAGCTTGCGAAGGAAGAAGGCCACTGTCTTACGTAAGCACCGCACGGTGAACAAATGAGATTTAACACTGACACGCTCTTTTACCCCAATCCCAGCCATATGCCAGTTTGTCACTCGTGTCCTGTGTAGCATTGTTTTTGTCCAGCCCAGAACCATATACTACACTTGGTTGTCATGTCTCCTTAGTTTCCGTTTGCCTCTCTTTGCCCTTCGTGGCACTGCCGCTGCGAACGCCTGCAGAGGGTCTGGCCGCTGCCCTACGACTGTGGGGTCGAGGAAGGGAGAAGCAGTTGGTGGGGTGGCGGTAGCTGAAAAGACCGAAGCCACGGGGCTGAGAGAACTGTCCCTCACCCCTTCTGTTGGCCTTTGATGGCTTCTATGTAACCTTCTGTCCTCTCTCCTCTCCTGGACAGGAGGTACGTGTCCTCCTCCTCCGGCCCCATGGGGCCCAGCACAGCGTGAAGCCGCTGGCACGGGCAGCGCTCTTGATCAGATGCCTTTCTGATATTTGACCAAAAATTGTAGAGTGAGAAGCCGCCGTGGCTCTGATTTCAGGTAAATTAAAGCCTAAGGGGGCGGGCACTTGGGTGGCTCAGTGGTTGAGCACCTGCCTTTGGCTCAGGTCATGATCCAGGGTCCTGGGATCGAGTCCCGCATTGCTTGCCCATGTCTCTGCCTCTCTGTGTGTGTGTCTCTCATGAATAAATAAATAAATAAATAAAATATTTAGAACAATAATAATAAAAAAGAGGGCGCTTTTAAAATCCCAGAATAATGTGGCCACTGGAGATTTTATCTGCGGCTATAAGTACCATTTGTGAAACATTAGGGGAGATCCCCCCTCTGCCCAACCCCACTTCTCTTTATGCAATTTTTAACACAGTTGCCTCTTAAGTGATCTAGAGAGAGCTGGTTTATAATGTCTAACACCTGCAACCTTAAGACCAACCCTCCAGGAATGATTTCTAAATCAGTACTCAGTTTACCTCCTCTTTTTCAAAACTTATTTCATCAGATGATTTCTGTCCGCACACAATGCCAGCAACGACTCAGGCTATTCAGGCTAATAGCCATTCCCTAAATAATTCTTCATGGTCCAAAATAATCCAAGGAGCTTCCATAACATATTTTATATAAGGCTTGTCCATTCCCTAAAGGATAATTGTGTACCTTGGAGCACATACAGTATTCAGAGCATCTACTATATGCTAACACTGTGCCAGGCACTGGGAAATTCACCGATGCCCCAGTAGGCCCCAACTCTATGATCCTGGAGCCCACAGTACAACTTTGGCCTCAGGCCAGCATTGGGGACTGCCGGGGCATTTATGAGAAGCACCCAACCCACCTCAGGAAGATGAGGGGGAGGGTGCTTGGCGTTAGCACGCCAAGGGTAGGGTGGGGGAAGTATTTCTGGCAGAAGGATACCTCACTCCCTACCCAGCTACAGGTTAGATAGAGTGAAGGTATGAATAATGCCCCCACCACCAAAGGTGTCCATGTCCTAATCCCCAGGACCTGTGAATACATTCTCCTACATGGTTTTTAAAGATTTTCTTTTTAAAGTTTATTTATTTAAGTGACCTCTACACCCAACATGGGGCTTGAACTCATGGCCCTAAGATCAAGAGCTGCATGTTCTATTGACTGAGCCAGCCAGGCACCCTGTTGGCCTATGTGGTAAAGGGAGTTTGCAAACATGATTATTAAGACTCCTGAGAAGGGGAGAATTTCTGGATCGGGTGAACCCAATATAATCACAAGGATCCTCACAAGAGGAAAGCAGGAGGGTCAGAGTCAGGAGTAGGCGTGCTGGGAACAGGAGTGATTTGAAGGAAGAAGCCATGAGCAGAGGAAGGTGGGTGGTTTCTAGAAGCTGAAAAAGACAAGGAGACAGTCCCCCCCCCCCCCGCCCCACCCAGAGCCTCTCAAAGGAGGCTCCTTCTGGAACCAACCCTTGAGCCCAGTGAGAACTCTAAGACGGTAAGTCTGTGTTGTTGGAAGCAACAAAGTCTGTAGGAAAAGTCCCAGGAAACTAATGCAGACAGTTTGGTTAAAGCCACCCCAGGTACAGGGATGGGCACATGGGCTCAGGGGTACTCTGCAGTCGGGCTCCCATGTCCAGCCTGGGAGGGGGTGGGGATTAGAAGCCTAAACAGGCATGCCCCTGCCTGGGTAACACCTTTTTCTGGTGCTGATTAGGCCAATAGTGTGGTTAACAAGGCCATGAGGAGTGCCCCCTGGGAGATGATTCTCCTCGTGTCCACCTCCAGGCCTCCCCTATCTCAGTGTCCCATCTCGCTCCCGCCCTTGCTTCCCTGATCTCCTAGCCTCTGTGGGTGCAGACTTGGCTCCTCCTGCCATCCAGGGTTGTCTCTTCTCTAGGGAGGCTGCAGATAAGGCCAACCAGGCTCTGCGTCTCTGGTGCTGGTCCCCGCAAGCCCACCCCATCCCTGCAGCCCTGAACCTAGAGCCCAGGCCCTGGCCTTTGGGCCCTGCTGGGTCTGCATGCCTGCAGCTGTGTCCTGGGGCAAAACCAAAGGTCTGTGAGAAGCCTGGTAAAGAGTCAGCCTGGTGACAAGTGCCCGGGTTCAAGGCTCCTATGATCCTTTCTACCCAGAATAACCTCTACCTAATGACACTCCAGGTTCTAGCTTCACCCGGACAAACCAGCCCTGTGCCGTTCTCTTCCCTCCAGCCTCAGCCAGATGCTAGCATAGGTCGATCTCTTCTTTGTAGCTGGAAAGTGACCCTAGCACACGGGCCCTGCCTTCCTCTTTAACCTCTAGGGCTAGGCAAACTGCCTTGTCCCATACAGAATTATTGGTGATTGGTGCCATCATACCATCTTAGCAGTAGCCCTCAACCTTGGCCGCTCATCAGAGTCACCTGAGGTGGGGTGAGGGCAGTGTTTAAAAAAAAAAAAAATTACTGGGTCTGAGCCCTACCCCCAGAGAGTTTAATGTGATCTGTCTGGGAGCTGCCCGGCACCGAGATTTTTTAAAGGTTCCCCAGGGGATTCTAAAATGCAGCTTAGAACCACTGATTCTGAACTTGGAGATTTTGAACTCTGTTTTCAAGGAAGTAGGGCTTTCAAAACTCAGGCCTGGGGACCTGAGTCTGGGCAGCCCTGCTGCAGGGAGGTCAGCGGCATCCAGCAGGTAGGAGATGATGCTGGAGGCAGGGCCTGGCTCCCAAGCAACCTGTGGCCCTTGGCTTCCAGGTCTGTAAGATGTCCCCCATAGGTCCAGCGAGCCAGGGTGGGAGAGGGTGAGGAAGAAGGGAAAGAGAGCAGAGGGAGGAGGAGGACAAGCTGTCCCCACCAGCGCTGTGACTTCTGACATGCTGTGACTTAATGGAGAGAGAATCTCACATGAAAACAGCAGAAGATATTTGCAGCCAAGAAGAGCCATGCCGTCTGGTTGACACCAGATTCAGAGGGCAGTTGGGGGTGGCTGGGTGGGACGGGAGAGGGACAGAGGAGGGTCGGGCAAGCCAGGACAGAGGCCTCGAGAAGCAGTGTCACAGCAGTCCATGGGGGACGGAGGTAGCGGGGACTCAGGATAAACACCATGGTCCCTTCCAACTGCGGCGCTCCATGACTTTTCTAAGCGCTTCTGGACATGTCATTTGATGCACATAACAGCCCTCACTGCTAGGTGTTAATATCCCAATCTCAGAGCTCAAGCCCAAAGTCAACCCAGGTCTGTCCAGTCTCTCTCTCTTGCAAAGGACAGGAGGCAGCCCTGTTCTCCAAATACTGTCTCAGTTTTGAGCTTGTGGCAGGAGAAAGCCAACCAGAATTTCTCTGGTCTCTTTGGGAAAGCCTGTCCCTATTTGTAGGAAATACTATAAAAAATACTGGAACACGCCAAATCAATCATTGCTCTTCTCACCGCCTCGTTCCTGCCGGGCCCTCAGCTAATATCCGTGGGCAGAGTCACTGTGCCATCCCCCCAAATCACCATGGAGGGCAAGAGCTGTAAGGAAGGCCGGGCTGAGGTAGCTCCAGCTCCAGCTCCAGACAGACAGACAGAGTCATGGGGGCCAAAGGCAAAGCTTGGCGAATGGAAACGCAACACAGGGGTGTCGGGATGGCCCTGCAGAATGTTCTCCACTGGTTTTACCTCCAGGGGAAGTCTCTGTAAGCCTCTCCAGTCCCTTCCTGCAGGCAGGTGAAGACATCCTCCCCTCCTTATTCCCAAAGGGTCTTCACTCCTTTCTAGAATCCAAGGAACTGCGCTCCACCCCAATGACACCCACGCCACACAACTGGGGACTGGGGTCCCCGACCCTCTTGGCCACAGCAGGGGGCCCGGGGTGGACACCTAATCCAAGCTGGCCAACTGGAGCCTCTCCCCTGGGAATCTGATGCTGGAAACAAGAGGGGCTGCTTCCACCCTTTCAGGGTGTTGGCTGGGGAAATGACGTGAGGAGAGGCTGAGTGGCCCCGGTAGATCCGGTAGATCCGGTAGGGTGAAGAGGCAGTGAAGGCTGGCCTCTGAGCGGGAGACGGGAGACGCAGGCCTGAGAGGGAGGCCTTCCTGCCGGCTGGCTCGCACTCTCGTCAGGGAAGTGCCCCTACACACTCACGACACAATCTCCCTCTCCCCTTGCTGGTACGAGAGGCTCCTCTAGCTTTCCATCCACCAGGCCTCAGACAGACAGGACCCCCTTGCTTTCCTTGTATTTATGGGGCACCTGGGTAGCTTAGCGGTTGAGCAACCACCTTTGGCTCAGGGCGTGATCCCGGGATCCCCATGGATTCCCACATCACACTCCCTGCAGGGAGCCTGCTTCTCCCTGTGTTTCTGTGTTTCTGCCTCTCTATCTCTCTGCGTCTCTCATAAATAAATAAATAAAACCTTTCAAATATATATATAGGGCAGCGGTTTATAGGCTCAGCAGCTTAGTGCTGCCTTCAGCCCGGAGTGTAATCCTGGAGTTCTGGGATCGAGTCCTGCATTGGGATCCCTGCAGGGAGCCTGCTTCTCCCTCTGCCTGTGTCTCCGCCTCTCTCTCTCTCTGTGTGTCTCTCATGAATAAATAAATAAAATCTTTTTTTAAAAAGTAAAAATAAAATTTATATATATATATATATATGCATTTATATTTGTTTTTTTAAGTTAGTTTTTTTTTATTATTAAAAAAAAAAGATCCCCTCCATTTATTAATGACTCTGGAATCTGTCCAACCAGATATCCACTGTCGTTCATGGGGGTCTGTCTAGCTGGGGCTCCCTGAGCAGGTCTTCTGGCATCTAGGGCTACAGGTGCCCCCAGCTTCTGACTGAGCCCCACCCTCTTGGCGACCCCCCCAACCCCCCTTCTAGTTGGGCCAGACTCCCCCTGTCCCCATCCAGCAAATGTTTATTCCCGCCTTTCATCCAAACCAGGTCCTTGGCCCCAACCTTCATTCTCCTTTCTGCCTTAGGCTCCAGGTCCCTTGCCCGGCTGCCCTTCACCGCTTGTGGCCACGCTGCCCGGTCCCTGCTCTGTGTGCCCATGGCCTTCATTGTCCAAATCGCTCCTCTGTGTACCAGATGCAGTGACCCTATGGTGCCCTGACTCTTGGGCCTGCCTTCCCAGTGGAACTGCCATCATGTGAGCTTCAGACACAGGGTGACCAGAAGGAGCCCCGTGGCACAGCTTTCAAAGCCTCCCTTGAGCCAGGGACTGACTGCCCCAAACTGCCTTGCTGACCTTATTTCCCCAAACTCACATGCCTGGTTCACCTTTCTGTGAAGCCCCTGCTCTCCAACCGCAGCACACACCTGGTGCAGAGCAGATACTCAAATATTTTTGTTGACTTAAAACCACAAACACTCATTGTGTTGAATCAATATTGTTCTTTTCAGGGAATTGAGAGAGAGAAAGAACCACCTGCTGGGATCCCGGCACACTCAGCGTGGCCTTGGCTGAATGCTGACCCCCAAGGAAGCCTCCGTGAGGCTGTGAGGTATCCAGCCCTGATGCAGTTGTACCCAGCTGGAGAGCCTGAGGCCATGCAGAGCACGGCCTGGACATATCAGGGCTTGTCCAAGCTGCCAAAGGAGCCACCCAGGGCCAGTGTCTTGGAATATACCCTTCGATAAAAATCGGAGAGAGCACATTTTATGATTCAAGCCAGGACACTTTTGAGAGTGAACTAGAAATTATGCTAGGAGTATTCCAGATAAGTGGCCAGGATGGTCACCTGGGCAATCGGTTATGTTCCAGTCTTTTGACTAAAAGACTCCAAAAGACTCCTAAAGAACAGATAAAATAGAGTTTTTTAAACATAAAACTTGCTGAACTCAAAGTAGCTTAGGGCCAACATGGCTTTATTTCAAAAGCCAATTGTGTTGTTGAAGAAAAGGCTATGTTCTCGGCCCATTTTGGCTATGGTTGGGGGCTGCTTGGGGAATTGCATTGAAGACTTGTATGCTCCTGGGCCTGGGGTTTTCTGAAAACAGAAAAGAAAACAGGGACTGATGAGACAGTGACACCAATACCCTGGAGCCCCCTGAGCCGGGCTGTGGACTCAGACATGACTGGCAAATCCCCACTGGGGAAGATGAGGGCCATTTCTGACTGTGCTGTGGCCTGGGGCACCCTTTAGTTGGAGCGTGTCCTTGGAGCTGAGGACCACTCCCATCAGTGGCTTTCCCCAGGACTCCAGAGGTGCCAAGAAGGAGGACACACAAGTGCCGGCCTAGACCTGCGGGGCAGGTTTGGCTCACATCCCTCCTGCACCCCAAAGCACACTTCCTCCCAGAGGGCACTCTGCCCAGACTGCTCCTGTCCCCAGGAATGCCACTGTCCTCCCCTCTACCTTAGCCTAGTGGTAAGCAGTTGGAGAAAATGGATTCTGAACCTGGGTGATTGACCGCAAAAGCCCAAACTCAGCTTTTTGTAGCTCAAGCTCTGTGGATCCCAGGGTCCAGAGTACTCTCAAGAGATCTGTGAGTTCTAATTTTTAAAAGTCATGTTTTCAGGGACGCCTGGGTGGCTCAGTGGTTGAGCGTCTGCCTTTGGCTCAGGTCATGATTCCAGAGTCCTGGCATCAAGTCCCCCATCAAGCTCCCTTCAGGGAGCCTGCTTCTCCCTCTGCCTGTATTTCTGCCTCTCTCTGTGTGTCTCTCATGAATAAATATATAACATCTTTTTAAAAAATTTTTTTAAATAAAATAAAAAGGGGATCCCTGGGTGGCTCAGCGGTTTGGCACCTGCCTTTGGCCCAGGGTGTGATCCTGGAGTCCCGGGATCGAGTCCCACATCAGGCTTCCTGGATGGAGCCTGCTTCTCCTCTGTCTGTGTCTCTGCCTTTCTCTCTCTCTCTGTCATGAATAAATGAATAAAATCTTTAAATAAATAAATAAATAAATAAATAAATAAATAAATAAATAAAATAAAAAAGTCATGTTTTCGTTTGGATGAAATTCTTGAAAAAATTATTTTGCCAATGATTTACATGAAGCTTCTCTTCTATAGTGATAAAATGTAAATGAATGTCATCTTCATTGACAGAAAGACTTTGATTTTTGGGGTCAGCATTTCCCATGTCGGGGTGCATGTACATATTCTTGAAGCCCCAGGGAATTTTCTCTTGGGTCTGTTGGAGAAGCATCTGTGTCTCTGTGTGTGGCTAAGGGAAGGGTCTCAACGTCGGGCAGGCTTGAGTTTGAGTCCTAGTTCTACCACCAATGGCTCGTTGTGACCCTGGGCCATGTGCTTCCCCAGCCTCACCCATCGGATGAGGTAATGAGGCTGGCTGGAGGCCCTCCAGGACAGAGAGCACCATGCCAGGCTGGCAGTGAGAGTGTTGCACATTAGCTACCAGCACTATTCTTATTCCCTATTATCATGTGCTAGTCATTCCCATCCTTCTTTGCAGTTTATTATCTCTCCAGGAGACAGAGAGGGTGGAAATAGGATTACCCTGAGAGTGGGACAGAATGGTCAGCCCAGAGTGGATGAAGTCAGCTGCATGCAGAAGCTGCTGTAAATGACAGGATGTTTCCCCTGCCAAAAGCAGAGGAGCAGCCTGGAAATCTAATCAAGCCCTGGCCAGACGTCAAAGGAAGCTGAAGCCTTCATTAGTGCTATTAATGAGGAAGCAACATGCATGTGAAGTTCTGGAAAGCCAGCCCACAGAACAGGAGGCCTGTGGGCCTCGGTCTCAAAGGCTACCCCTCAGGAGGCTACCGGTTATGGTTCTCAGACCTTGAGAACATCTGGCTCCACATCCCAGCCCTGTCACTGAGCAAACTTCTGATTGTCCTTGGCTTCGATGAAGAGTTTCTTATAAAGGGAGACATCCCACAAAGCAGTGCCTCTGGGCCCCAGCCCCCTTGGTGGACCCTTGCAAATGAACACTACACCTTCTGACTTCTCTATCAGCTTCCTGGGAGTTTGGTTCACATAACTCCAACTTCCTGAGGATGCTCAGCCCTGTGAGCTGGGACAAAAATCTGTGTCTGGATCATGCTAATGCCACTAGGGTATGAGGATCTGTGGAAGGGATCCACCACTTCCTGCTATTGGTCCATTTTTATTTTTACCAACAGGGACTCCCCAGTAGTCCTCCAGGTAAAGACCACACACTACCCTGGGCCAGAGTTGGTAGCTCTGGAGCAAGATCCTAAAGATGCCACCTTGGGACACCCACCCTTCCTTGAACCCCTGGGATAGGCCCATTATCTTACTGGCAGAATTTGTATTTCTGTCTCCTCAAACCACCTCAAATAAGGCAACATACCAGTGAGTTCTGGGGACTTTCAAACTGGGGAGAAGACTGGGAACAAGCCCAAGGGAATTAAAACTATCAGCTTTTTTTTTTTTTTTTTTTTTTTTACAAAAATAGCCATTGTTCATCAGCTCCATGTTATGTTTTGCAATTTCTCTTGGTCTTCTCTAGGCCTCTGAGGCTCAAAACACCTACCCCTCCAACGTATCTGTGTCTCTCCACAGATTTGACCCTCTTCACTCTCTATCTTGAGTTCTTGGGGGCAGGATGACTGCTTGTGCCTTAATGGTCCCCTTTGGTTCAATAATAATGTTCCTGCTCCCAGAAGACACACAAAGCAGTTCTGGGTAGATGGGGCCAGCCGCTGCCCACTGCTTGCCTCAGTTCATTAAACATGTTTTCCCACAGAGCATCCAGATCAGAACACGCTGACAGCTAATTACTATGCTGCATGTTGTCAACTGGACCCGAAATTCCACCATGGTCTTTGGATCTGGAGCCACTCTGAGCCTGAGACAGACTGGGGACTTGCCAGATTTTTGAGCTCTGTGCTCTTTCCCACCTGGACAAGCAATCAGATACCATATACACACTAGATTTGTAGAGAACTCTAACGCAACCCCCACTGCTTCCCCCACCCCCCACCAACCCCAGTCACAGAACCTACAATCATCATCTTTCAGAGTACTTACAGAACAAGAGGGCAGGAATCGAGGTACTCTGGACTGAAAACAAGAAGTAACGGAATTTGCTGGAGGTATTTTCAAGTCATAATGACCTGGTCCTGGGCCTTCATGCTATAGGAAGGGGGAAAAAAAGAGGGTTTTATAATTACTAATATTTGTTATATTATAATGCTTTATTTGCCTTCCACAAATAAACATATGGATCACTGTAATATGGTAGAAAAATCTCTAGACTGGGGTTTGGAGGATCTTATTAAGGTGTGCCCTGGCTCAAGCCATTGGGAAGTGGGAATAATACCTGCTTTACCTGCTTTACCTGCCTTGTGGGTGCATGAGACTGAAGATTAAGTGACGTGTAAAAGTCCCCCTCCGTCTTGCCCCACACTGGGACGCCTCACTCGGTACCTGCCCTTCGGACTGTTAACAACTTGCTGCTTTGAGCTGTTAAGCTTTATAAAACATACATATTCTTTCCTGAGTGTAATATGTGTTATCTTAGTCCAAACAAGTCTTCACAGCAATTCACTGACATCAGCACAATGCTGTGACATTAACATAAAATGATCATCCTAATGGAAAAATTACTAAAAGGCAATTCACAAGGAGGAAATACAATTGTTCACTGAGGAAATGGCAGGTGGCTGGGAGTAATTTTAACCTCTATGAATAACTGAATAAGTTCTCATTAAAACAAGTATATGGAGGATCCTGGGTGGCTCAGCGGTACACCCAGCAATCCCAGGGCATGATCCTGAAGTCCCGGGATGGAGTCCCACATTGAGCTCCCTGCAAGGAGCCTGCTTCTCCTTTTGCCTGTGTCTCTGCCTCTCTCTCTCTCTCTCTCTCCATCTCTCATAAATAAACAAAAACTTAAAAAAAAAAACCCCAAGGATATGATTCTTGTTTCAGGGTCTTCAAAATTCATGAAAAAAGAAGAAAGGAAGAAGGGGGATGGAAAGAGGGGAAAAAGAAAAGAAGGAAGACCCCAAATTTTAACCACCAGCATGGACACTCCTCTATGACTCTGGTGCAAGTATAAATTTGATTAGTCCTTCTGGAGGGCAATTTGGCAAGATACGAAAGGGCCTGTAAACTTCTATACCTATCCAGAGGGGGAGAAAGGAGTCTGGTTACCAGATTGTTGCAGAAATCTGAAGACACATGAAGAGTCCTAGGCCAGATACAGCAGGGGAAATGGAAAGAGCCCAAACATCGCAGTGGATGATGTGGACAAGACGTTAACCTCTTATTCTTTTTCTGGCAGTTCACTTTTTCTCTCCCATTTTTAATTACTTGTGCTATTTGGTAGAAATGAATCTTTCTGACATGATGTCTAGGATCTGTTCCTAAATAATGCAGGGACTAGTGGAAGTGGGTGGGATACACACTGATCAGGAGCTACAATTGTTGAATGGATGCATGGGTGTTTGATAGAGTATTGTGTCTACGTAGTATGTATTTCTGAAGTTTTTACAATACAAAGTTAGAAATGATGTATGTTTATTATTCTGACCCAGCAATTCCACTTTTAGAAATTCATCCTAAAAAAACAATTGACAACATGTGCAAGTATTTGGCCACAAATGTTTTTTCTAAAAATTGAAAATTGGAGGGGCAACTGGTGGCTCAGTGGTTGAGCATCTGCCTTTGGCTCAGGTGGTGATCCTGGGGTCCTGGGCTCGAGTCTCACATCAGGCTCCCCATGGGAGTGTCAGCCTGTGTCTCTGCCTCTCTCTGTGTCTCTTATGAATAAATAAAATCTTTTAAAAAAATGAAAGTTGGAACAAACTAAATGACTGATAATGCGTGGCTGGCTAAGTACACTGTGATACTTCCATTCAGCTGTTGAGTGATGGATTTTTACAGACATAAAGCTACTTCCAAATACTTTTCAGTGAAAATGCAAGCTTTAGGGGATCCCTGGGTGGCGCAGCGGTTTGGCGCCTGCCTCTGGCCCAGGGCGCGATCCTGGAGACCCGGGATCGAATCCCACGTCGGGCTCCCGGTGCATGGAGCCTGCTTCTCCCTCTGCCTGTGTCTCTGCCTCTCTCTCTCTCTGTGTGACTATCATAAATAAATAAAAAAAAAATTTAAAAAAAAAAAAAAAAAGAAAATGCAAGCTTTAAAAAAATCTGCATAAAAACCAGGAATGGAATGTTCACCGGCTATTTTCCCCAGGTGGCAGCATGTTGTGTAAAAAGAATTTTGTTTTTCTTACCTGCATTTTCTAAATTTTCTACAATGGACTTGAGTGCTCTTGAGACATGAATATATATATATATATATATATATATATATATATATATATATACCTACTTTATAGATAAACGAACATGAAAAATGAGCAAAGGATAAAAAGATAAAAGTAACTATAGGGTTAGAACAGAGAAATGTGTCCTGTAAGATCTTTATCATCACTAAGGCTGGGCTGCAAATTAGCCCATCAGATTCAGCAGAACAAGTGTTCGACTGCAGACCTTCCAAGGGATTTAAGAGCAAAGCTTTCCCTTTCATTCCTGTGGGTGGCAAAGCCGTGTAGTTTGGGCTGCCATCTCAATTACTCTTCCATGAATGGAGTTATTAAAGGTCAAGCACAAGTCTGATAATCAAGAGATGGATGCCTCTCATAATTTTACAACTCATGGTAGAGAGATGAACACAGTAACACTTCGAAATTGATACATACGTGGGACAGAGATTGCTACAAGCGTGAGTGGAGTGACCTCTGCACTCCCGCTGGAGAAATGTGAGCTGCCATAAAAACCAAGGCACAGAAATTCAGGGGAATCTGTCAGGAATAGTCTATGCAACCAACACCTCCCCCCAATTGGTTTGGCCATAATATATGCAGTATTTTCAAGTCAGAATGGTACTGGGACAAAAGATCCAGCTAAGTGTGCTACTGTTGACTAAACGCCTACAGCAACCACTTGCAGGATGGCTAAGAAATGCTGCCACATGTCCCCTTCCCTTCAAGCCTGACGTGGCTTCCCTTCCTAAGTTTCCATATCATGAGCTTCTTGGGAGTCCAGGTGCCAGGCCTGGCAAAGTGCTGATGTGTGCCAGTGCCACCCAGCAGCCCCCCTATATGGGCTTGATCATCTAAATCAAAAGACCCAAGACTTGGGGCAGAAAAGAAATGACTGCATGTTCTTTGTCCCACTTGCGTCAGATGGAATCTTTTAAGAGACAACATTAGGGAAGTGGATACAGGCCCAAATTCATATTCCAAAGGCCACAGGCATGTTGTTCTATGTGAGAAGTACTGATTGGGCCAAGATCCTGCAATGGGTGGGCGGCAGCTCCAGCAGAGTCCCTGATTCTGAGGACAATGTGAGTGAGCAGAGCAGGAGTAGAGGGAAGGGAACACAGTCCAGGGTGGCTTAGAATGTGGCTTGAGCAACTGGATCCAGTTCAACGGGAGGATGTTTCAAAGATGAAGAACATTTGAATGGTTAGGAAGGCTGCTCCCTCATTGACTGGGGACTGAGCATGACCCAGAGCTTGGGTTCACCTTATGTAGGGTGCATGGGTGGAGGGTGGCACCCAGGTTCATCAGACAGTACCAAGCACCTCTCTCACAAATCAGGTGAGCCATCTCTTAACCCTTGTTTTCATTAGCATCACGATTTGGCAACCCTGGGTTTCCCAAAAGTACACCTTTCAAAGGCCACTGACATTTGGTGCCAAAAGCGGACAGAACTGTCACCTTCCTAGGGTCCCAGGACCTACTGCCAAAAGTAACTACAGGAAACCTTTCATCGTTACCCATTCTTCTGCTTTGGGGCATGATTACTCCTGACAAGATGATATTATCTTTCTTTCCCTTTGAAAAAGTAATTGAGTTTCTACTCAAGAGCAACTTTAACTAACAGGATAGCACAAGTGAATTAAATACTATCTTCAACCTCAGAGGAGTTTACAGTCCAGGGAGGGATTCTTTTTATCCCAAAACATGTGAGGAGCTAGGATGGTGCTGTGTGAGGGCTGAGCTAACTGCCTGGCTTCAAGACTACACTAGGCCCTGCTGTGACCAGCCTGTGCTAACTGTGACTGCAGTGGGCCACAGGATGGTACCAAGGGAAGCCACTTTCCACTTACTATCAAGGGCTCAGAATGCACAGACCCCATTGACTTTTCTGGAGTGCTCCCGGGACCCTGCCATACCATGAAAGAGCTTCCCAGTGGGCAATAACTCTCAGTACCATTATAGGCCTTTGGAAAGCCCTGCCATGCCGCCACTGAACACACTTCTCCTCCAGGGCTGGGAAAGTGGGACTGGCTAATCTCTGCCCCTCTGCTCTGGAACTAAAAGATGTATCACTCTGGAGCATCCCAGAGCAGCAAAATGCCAGGTACCTCTGAAAGACTGTGTGAGGGTAGATGAGATTATCCCAAATTACTATGTGTTCAATTGCGATCCCCTTAAAATTCACAAACTCTACAAATTTTTATTGTGTTGAATTGTGTCGAATGGTGTCCCCCGCAATTCATAGCTCCTGTGAATTTTGAATTACTAATACCTCAGAATGTGAGCCTCTATGGATATAGAGTTCTTGCAGCTATAATTAGTTAAGATGAGGTTATTAAGATGGGCCCTAATCCTAGATGAATGCTAACCTTTATAAAAAGGGAGATTTTTGGACACCCAGACACGCACACAAGGAAACCACCACACAAAGATGAAGGCAGAAGTCTACAAACCAGAGGAGGCCAAAGATTGTCAGCGTACCACCAGAAGCTAGGAGAGAGGAACGGAACAGATTTTTCTTCACAGCCCTCAGAAAGAACCAACACTGCTGGCTGGCTCCTTGATCTTGGACTTCCTCTAGAACTGTGAGACCATAAGTCTCTGTTGTATAAGCCACTCAGTTGGTAGTACTTTGTTAGGGAGGCCCTAGCAAATGAATTCGTAAGTGCTCAGCCCATTTCTTCATTCAGCCAGTACACAGTGCGTTGGAAGTGGGAATACAGTGGTATGTGATTGTCTCCCAATATCCATTCTGTCCCTTAGTACAAGAGCAATTTTTAAACGGGCACATGTCTACCCAGCATAAAGGCAACATTTCCCAGCTTCCCCTGAAGCTAGGTGTGACCACATGACTAATTTC